CACCGACCGACGACCGACACCGACACACACACACACACACACACACACACACACACACACACACACACACACACACACACACACACACACACACACACACACACACACACACTCCAATATCTCAACCTATTACCCAACTGCTACGAGACAACATTTTATCAGCTTGCATCATCTTCTGGGAAATATATATTATTTTATTTTTATTATTATTTCATTTTTTATTTTTTTATTATCATTATTATTATTATTATTATTATTATTATTATTATTATTATTATTTTTTTTTTTTTAATCTCTCAAATTGTATCAGTGTCCTTTGTTGTGAAGCGCTTCGAGATTTTGTCTTGGCAGATGAGAAGTGATATATAAATTAAATGTATTATTTGTATTAAAGACTCCGTGGACCATGTTGATAAACCAAATGTACTATATCTATTGTTTGGATGTAGTGGTTGGTAGACAGACTGCAGTGTTGTTCCAACAGGTTTCACATTTTCTCATTTGTAGCAGCAGGCCCTCAAACCTTCCTCACAACACCCTGGCTGTGTTTCTGGTGGGATCAGAATGCAAAGCTATTACACACAGGAGGGGTTGTCTCAATCACACCGAATGGCTATGAATTTTAAATTCCGGATTAGGGCCTACAGAGAAGCAGGCGCACGGGAGAGACCCAGTCAGTTGAGTGCTAATCTGATTTAAAACATCTTCTTTTCTCTACAAACAGCTCTGGAAGCACATTGTTGCTGGGGCTTTAATCTTTCAGCTGCTCCCCCAAATCAAACCACAGCACAGACTCTCTCGAAAAAGGAAATTATTCGACCATGATCAACATCCTGTTTTCCATATGAAGAAAATACCAAACCGAGTCAACTGCTGGTCAGCCAGTATACCGGGAAATGACATCATTACAGTTTAATGTGCACTCTCATGTGTTCATGAACTGCATTTCCTTTGAGTTTGTGTGTGTTATTTCAGGTCCTCATAGCTGGAATGAATTCTTATTTCTGTCTTTGCTAATGCTCTGCTGTAATGATGTTTACTTGATTGTTGATTCATCTTTTTACTGTGTTTACAGATGGAGACATGGATGACTCATCCCCGTATGAACCTGTAGCTCCAAGCCGACAACACGATGCATTTCGCCTGGCCTCCATCTCTTCAGGTACCTCAGGTTTAATCTTGAACTAAATACTTGGCGGTTTATTATATGAGTGGAGACTTTTAGAGAGGGTGAAATAAAGGTTCCTTGGACTGAATAAGGAAGTCTAAATAGCCTGGGCTGATCATTCCTCACAGGCCTTTGAAGAGATCGGGTGCTTATCGTTTGATCTGTCTTGACATACGACAGATGTTATGGGCCTGTGGGGTAAACCATATACCCAGTTTATTACTGCACATTTTTCCCGGCTATTGACTCCGCTTTCAGTTTGATTTCCTATTTGGATTACTAATTAAACAGCCCAGCACGCAGCAGGGGAGCTATAGCCTGCGATTTAATTTACTGGTTATTACCGTCACGGTATAACTAATCAATGTGGATCCTATTATGAGACACAGCTACAATGCTTAATGCAGTGCATATAGAAGCTAGTTATACAAAGGGTGTGATTGGACACAGGGACAATGTCTGTCCATTGCCAGAGCTAAAGGCATAGTAACTTGAAAATTAAAGTTTTCTTTTCATGTTCTGAGAACAATTTCTGGAGGATGTTCAATTTTTTCTTTTCAGCCAAAAGCAATTTACAAACAGGGAGAGCACATTTTCCTTTTCATTTGGCTGATGTATCTTGCTTTGTTTTATATCTGGGAGGTACAAGAAAGACACGCTTTTGGTATAATCCCCTTAGCTTGGAATCAGCAGTATATCACTTGTTTGAAATATTAAAAGAAGAAGAAGAGTACAAGATCAAATATGAAAAGGGCAGGCTTTGATTACTTTGGAGTTTTGAGAAACGATGGCACGCTGTCCTCGCTGAAAAAAAACGTGTTCATCTAGAAAACATTCAATAAGAACATTCTCCGCCAAGGTTGCAGATAAATGGGAGGCGTGTGGCGCAGTGGGTTGTGCCTTGGTGTTCGGATCAGGGGAGCACAGGTTCAAACCCCACTGCAGTCAGCATGTCGTTGTGTCCCTGAGACCAAATTGCTCCTGTGGGGATTGCCCATAGTATTGAGTATGTAAGTCGCTTTGGATAAAATCGTCTAACAAGTGACATGTAATGTTATTTTAAAGATAGAAAATGTTTAGATGTTGCATCTACACCAACATACTAATACTGTTATCAACAAATCATGCTGATTAAATANGCGTGTGGCGCAGTGGGTTGTGCCTTGGTGTTCGGATCAGGGGAGCACAGGTTCAAACCCCACTGCAGTCAGCATGTCGTTGTGTCCCTGTGGGGATTGCCCACAGTATTGAGTATGTAAGTCACTTTGGATAAAAGCGTCTAACAAGTGACATGTAATGTTATTTTAAAGATAGAAAATGTTTAGATGTTGCATCTACACCAACATACTAATACTGTTATCAACAAATCATGCTGATTAAATACATGTTTTGTATGGCTTTGTACAAAGAAAAACGTTCAAATTAGTAAGCCACCTGATAACTGAGTGAAGGCCATTTTAATTGATCAATTTAAAATTGCAGAAACTATATTACACTCACGCTTCTATTGGCTAGCGCTCATTATTTTGTATTTGATTGTGTTTTTATTTAGGTCTTAATGTGTACACATGTAAGAATGTGTCTTTGACTGTTTATATATACATATTTTTACATTTTATTATTTTATATACATTTGTTTTTATATTCAGGATTGTGGCAAACAGTATTTCGATCTCTCTGTCTGTACACACAAACTGGAAGATTGACAATAAAGTTTACTTTGACTTGTACGTGATAGGCCAAGGGGCGGAACATCTCTAAGTGGTTGCCCAATCACAACAGAGCCGGCCAGCTAACCAATCAGAGCAGACTGGGCTCTGGTTTCAGACAGAGGGTGAAAAGAGGTGCTGCAGCACAGGCAGTGTGAGANTACCGTGTGCCGATTTTCGTCGGAGGGAGCAGGAGACAGTAGTAGGAATAACCTAGACAGACGACGTAAGCTGTGCCACTTAGTAGTCTAGGAGGTGAAGGCGGGGCGTGAGAGGTCTTGAACCTCAAAGTCCGAGACGTGAAAAAGAGAGGAGTGGAGGGGGGTATGGAGTTTCTGGGCGTGGGATGTCCCCATTGAACCTCTCCCAGCCTCAGGGCTGGGAAACCAGTTTAATTGTGTCCCCGAGGCGGAAGTCCCGAGACAGAAGCAGGGAGGAGAAGAGGACATGTGTTTGAGCGAGCCTTAGTATAATCGGGCGTACCAAAAAGTATGGTGACGATGCGACTTGCTGTGGGTTAATTAAGACAGGAAAGGGTGAGTCTCTGGGTTTCCAGCAACATGGTAGAGGACGAACTGTAGAGAGTCAACCTACAGACGAGTGGGGCAGTTCGAGTTGGAACTGGTTCGACTTGACGAAAAAGAAAGGGCCCTTTCTACACAGGGCAAGAACTGGATTGTTAGTTGTAGCCGTGAGATAACAAAGGGGGCTGAGTCTGACGTTCTTAGGTCCACACTAGGATCTATTGTTTGACAGGAAAGTGACGTTTTGTATATCGACGATGTTGGGCGACGACTCTATGTGAGAAATGTTGCTAGTCCTCTATGCAGGGGGTCGACTGGGTCTTTTCGCTGCGTCCAAGCCAGGTCCGAAAGGCAGTAGAGTGCGGATCTGATGAGTTGAGGGAGGACCGACTAGATGGACGTACACGGTAGGCTGGGAGAAGTCGAGTAGGGTCTTACGTCGCCGAGCAAGACCAGAAGTGGAGGATTTAAGAGGGTGTGGTGTCGGCGAGGAGGCGAGGTAAGTGACCGAAGGGCCATGGACGATTCTTAGGTGAAGTTCTGTGACTATGAACGCATGGTACGACGCTTACCCTAGGACCTGGAATGGATGTAAGGTCCCTGTTACCAATTTTGGCATGTGGTCCAGTGACGTAGCCCAGCCCATGGGCCCAATGGGCTGCCCACTGGGCGTTTTTTTTTTCCACTAAGCGCCCACCCATAAAAAAGTTTGTGAAAAGAAGGCCCAAGCCAAGAACCCATTTTGTTTCTACTAAGCCCCAGCCCAGCGCCCACCCAACGTATTATTTATATAAATTTATTATTATAAATCAAATTACAAATTTAGGAGTCTGAGAGGGGGCGCCCTTGTCTCGTATTGTAGTTGGAGACGTCGCGTATTAGAGAAGACTCGGCGCGGTGTAAGACTTTACCGACTCCACTTCGAGAAGATCGCCTCTTTATGTCGTAAAAGGGTGTGGAAGGAGTTCTCGCTTCTAGGTTGCAGACCCTCGAAACACAGGAGGATCCTACGCTCTCTTATGGTTGAGGGCGCACATACACAGTATATATACACTTGTTACAATGAATGCTCGATAATCAGCTCACGACATATAGGTGTCAGCAGGGGTAAAGTGCTATGTTTATAAGTGGGGGGTGGACCTAATATTCCCCCGGAATGATTTTTAATTTTTTATATTGAAGTTAAAAGCATCAATCTGGTGCACTTTGAGAGCAAAATGAAGAGATCTTTGGATACATCTCTCAACACATATGAAACAGAACTGTAAACAGATTTTATTTTTCTTTATGGATATTTTACTAATCACTCCCCTTTTAAAGTGTATTCTTGTTTTACTGTCATATAGTATTTCATAACTGTTTTTCATTTATTCTCTTATTGTTTTATACCTATAGTGATCATATGAAGGTGTGCCTCGGTAATAATTCTTTACATGAATCGTGAACAAACCGTTTGAGACCCACTGAGATAACTTAGACTAAAGTTAACTATCTAAACACTCAGAGTCCTTTCAGCTTACCTGAGTCCCTCAGTCTGAAAGGAGAGGACATTCCCTTTACCTTGTTGTAGAAACAGCTCCTTATATCCGTTAGTGCAGCTAGCTAAACAGATGCTAACAACACGGTCCCTGGCACCGGTGCGCTCTCTCTCTCTTGCTCGCTTAATCACACTAAATGTGCGCCTGCCACACACACACACACACACACACACACACACACACACACACAGAGCCGAGCTTGAATGAAACACAGAGACCCAGAAGTACTTGTTCTGCACTGTGGCATATTTTTTTCGAATCAATAATTGTTCAAATGATGAATTTCACACACACATAAAAAAAAAAGACACATACATTTAGAGCTATCGTTAGCCTCCGGCTCCGGCTGTCGCTGCACGTCAACATTGCTAACGTTAGCGCTCGATGACTAATTTCGTCAGTTTAGCTGTTACATCTCCTTGTTCTCTCTTGTCCTTTCTCTTTTGAGTGCCGCTCTTGTGCTTTGGTTTGGTGTACATTATAAATGCAAGCTATTCAATCTTTTATAATGCTGCCGAACTTGCTGCTTCTAGCTACAGTACAGTACAGGTTGATTTAACTGTTCACTCGTCACGTAACGTATCACATGACATGAAAGGGAGCAAGGTAATTGGATAGACATATTACAAATTAACTTAGGTTGCTTGGTTACTTTGAAGCCTGTGTGAACCGGTCAATGCCATTGGGGCCCCCAAACAAGTAAGTAAGTATGATTAGGAAAATGCAGTTAATGTCATATTTATAAAAGTACGCAATGCAGAAAAATCTAAAATAAACAAAAAACAACAACACATAACTCAAAGGTCTTTCAATTATATTATAAAACTACTTTAAATGTTTTTGGAAGGCTGTATAGACTGTTGTTTTTATTCAAACATATTAATTTGTAAAGTAACGTGTCAGATTAATAGTGTAAAATATATTTCCCTGTACATTTTAGTGGAGTAGAAGTATAAAGTAAATTGCAAATACCTCAAGTTACAACACTTGAGTATACATTCTACCAGTGGTTAATTGGTTGATTATCTTATATTAGATTAGATTTTAATAGATAAGAAATACGATTTTCATCCCAAAATGGGAAATTGTTGCATTTGCATTGCATGATAATTAAAAATGTAAATGAATATATAAAGTAAATAAATACATAACAAAGGAACGATATATATCTAAATAGTAACTAATGAGCACTCAACAACAAAATATACAAAAAAGAATAAGCTAACCTATCA